AAAAAAAAAAAAAACCAAACGTGTGGGATAAATATTTAGCATACCTCTTTTAAAAGTGGTTTTAGGTACTTAGACCCTAGCCATGCCAGCTTTAGACAATGAGAAGTCCCATCAGACTAGGAAAGTACCTTCAAGTACAAGCTATCTGAGATAAAGCAAAGACTTCACCTATTACTAGGGACCTACCGAATTCATGGCAGAAGTGGGCTGTGTGGTAGCTGCTTTAAATCTTGCAGGTTCCCCTGCGTGGCCCCCTAACCCCACCTCCCCCTACCCCACAATTGCTGATTAGCTGAGGGGCCCCAGTGGCCCTGCTACCTGCCACTGACCAGCCAGGAAGCAAAACCAGCACCATACTTAAAACCTCGGTTTTCACCTCCGTGCTGATCAGGGCCCCTCTGCCAATTGGCAGGGGGGCACACAGGAGAACCTGCAAGATTAAAGGAGCTGCTGCGCAGCCCACTTCCACCATGAATTCGGTAGGTCCCTACCAATTATTAAAAAGCCACTTGCACACTTTTGGGTGCAACAAGCATTTAAAACCATGTAATTCTCTGGATTTCCCACAGTTTGCAGCCATAAAACATGTTTTGCCTCAAGAGTGTTCTTGTCTAAGAAAAAGGACTTGAAAACTATTATTTTAGTCATCTTTTTACGCTAAAAATACAATTTGCTATAGGAAGCTAGCTTTTACTAGCTTTAAGTAATTATAAAGCATTCTATAATTATAGCTATCTTTAGCAATTCTTAATTTCTCACTAAAGAGCACTGTTCTCAATGAAATACAGAGTAAGGACTTAACCAAATGTAATACACACTTCAAAGGATAGGTCATCCTCTTCCAGGTAAATACTAAAGGATTCTTTTTTTTCCTTAAGCAGCAGCCAGTCAATTTGCTGCCTGTCCACTGCTAGTCTCTACTGGGCAGTGCCTTGAAAAATGTGTTATACAAACAGTCCAATTACAAAAGTTAAATATGAAGTCCAAATACAAGGTCCATGGAAAGTAATTCACTCAGCTAACAGATCTTTAACAACCCCAGAATCTTTACCCAACAGGTTCTTCCTTCGCGGAATTCCCTTGCTGTGTCTCTTTTTTTTCTACTTCCTGATCTTTCTTCAAGGCCCTGACAGTCTCAGGTGCAGTGTCCACTTCCCCAGCTTCCATATGTTCATCAAAATCTCCGTCATCAAAGTCCATCATGCCCTGATTCTCTTCTGTAAGTAATGCACAAAGGGTCTGAATCACTTGTGAACTACATAGCTATTAGTACATATACACTATAAACAGAATTACTATGAAGCATCAATACACAATATTTAAGCTATTTTTATATTTAACCTTAATCATAATGAGTGCTCTAAAAGCTGCCACCTTACTGTCCACAATTTTAAAAATACCTTCAACAGCTTTCTCTTCTTTCGCCTTCAAGAGCCTTCCTTCAAGAGCCTTTTCTTCAGCTTTTACTGTATAGTCAGCAGTACCATTCTTTTTATTGTTTGCAACAGACTTTGCTGCAAAATTGACTTGTTTAGGGCAGGATGTTATTAGAGAAACAGCTTCTTTTCTGACTGGAGTGAGAACTTTTCGCATAACAGGGGCCATTACCTGAAAAAAATATTTTAAGTATACATACATAAACATTGCAAACATTCTTGTACTTAGACCCCACATACTCTGTAGCACACTGATACCAGAATTTCTCTAAATTCCATGATGGAATTTATTCTTCTAACACAAAGTTCTCATTCTTATTCTCACACAAAAAGCAAAAGGAGGGGAAAAAAAGATAATGTTAACTGATTAGTGTCAGTCACCATTCTCCACATAGACCAGCTCCAATCCCTGGCCCTCCACTTTGGAATAAAGAGTTTGACCGCAGAATTTATTCTCCATGTTTGTGCCAGTCCAGGGTCTAGCTTTCCTTTTAGCTTCTAAGGTAGCCAATGTTAGAAAACCCAACTCCCAATTTGTAGTAAGGATAATTGCTGGATGCCACCATAGGATAATGCAGGGAATGACTACCCGCTCCAGTTGTAATGTAATTTGCAAAACACACAGTGGCATTGCAAGACTTTTAAGATATGTGCTTGGCTCTAGCTGAATGGTAAATTCCACTGTCTCTTGGCAAGAATTCAATTTATGTAGCTACAGTACTTACCGCAGAGCCCATGGGACCCTGACTGAAACAAACGAGACAGAGTTAAAATTTCAGGTTCTCTCCAGACACACGACACCTTATCAGTCACTGCTTGAGACTTTCTGGATTTCTTCTCCAATATTCAAGGCTAGGACTTTTTTGTTCATGAAAGGTCCAATTTTAGAACCCAGTTTCTTAACAACAGAGTGAATTCCTGTCAACAAGTCCCAATTTAAAACCAATGCTTCAGCTCTTTTTAAGTTTGTCAAACTTTAAACTATCTGAACCAAACTTTTTCCAAGCTCTTCACCTCCAGGTGACTTGTTAGGTTTCAACAAAATCACACATTTCCAAGAGCAATGAGAAACAACAAAAGCGCTTTCCCAGCATTCAAATTCATTTTCAACCATTTCAAGAATTCCAGCATCCTCAGGCTTTGTAGAAGAGACATGAAATTTGGTAGCCCTTGAGGCCACAGAAGTGCTTTTTCTGTTCATGTGAAAAGCCAATTAGATTTGGTTAAGTTATAAGAACATTTGTACAAATGCAGCTTTTTAGAAACTGGCTTTGAAAGAAAAAAAACCACAAAAACAAAATAACCTCTGCTTCACATGGTGTTACTTCCATGTGACTACAACTAGAGCCCTACTTCTGATGCAGGAAATGCAACTCTCATCCACTGCTTAAGCAGATGTCTGTACATACTAATTCCTTCCCCTACTTGGTGACTCAACCCTTCAACCTGCTCTTCAACTTTTTTTTAACTTTTCATCCACCCCATTATTATCCCTTCAGCCGAGCTGCCTTATCTGTTCTTTGCCAATAGTCTCGATCAGGTGTTGGCAATGTTTTTGAACAGTGCCAAAAACACCTGCAACCTCAACTTGTAAGATGTTGGCAGCCCAGGGGCAGAAAGCAGGGGACCTGCAAGGGGCCCAATCTTTGTTACAGCAGCACAGCCCTGGCCTCTTCCCTGCCATCTCCTGCAAGGGTTGCACACCAAGCAAAATGCCTTCAACATGCATGCCAGGGGTTGCCTATATTTGTGTGGCAGGCTCAAGCCACAGGGGTGGCTGAGATGCCGCCTGATGGCTGTGTGGCTCCTGCCTGGCTCGGTCTCTAATGTGGCTCTTCCTTAATCACTCAGCACCACACCATGTTGTTACTGAGATTCAGTAAGGCAGGCTGCCCACAGGCCTTAGAGTGAGCCTGAGTCTAAATTAACTCAACAGGTCTCTCCCAGACCCCACTAGTTTCAATCCAACCCTTATGCTAAATAGGCTCTCTGGGCCTGGCTGTGCCCCTACAGGGCACCTATAGCCTTAAGGGCAAATTGCATGGCTCCATTCCTTCCCTATACCACGCCCCAAGCCTCACACAGGTGTTCTCTCCCTCTGATGTTAGTTCCTCTTAGTCCCTGTCAGGACTCTCAGACCCTCTGGGTCTCTCCACCCTCTTTTTCTGGGCCCTCAGACCCCTGGCCCCTCTCACAGTCCTTGTCAGGGCCTGTATGCCCTGTAATCCAGGGGTAGACAATGTTTTTTGGCTGGAGTGCCGAAAAACACCACAATGCCTACCTTGGAAGATGCCAGAGTACTGGCATGCCAGAAGAACAAAATGAGGGCAGGGGATACATAGCAGGATGCCCTGCTTGTGCCCCTTGCCCCCTATCCAAAGCCCCTGCCCCCCAGCCCTGTGGCCCCTTGCCCCTCAGCGAAAGCCTCTGCCCCGCAGCCCAGGCTCTGTGGCTGTCAGCAGCTACCCTGGCTCTACATAGAGGCTAGAGCCCGGGCTGCTCCCAGCAGGGCTTGCAGTGTCCCAGCTGCCTGCTGGGAGCAGCCCAGGCTCCCGGCTGGCAGCAGCTACCCAGAGCTGGGGCCGCCTGCAGCCGGAAGGCTGCAAACAGGTGTGCTGGGCTCCAGAGCCCTGGCATCAGGTCCGTACCAGCAGGTGGTGGGGGAGGGGCCTGAGACAGCACAGCCCTGGTCTCTCCCCATTCCTGGCACAGAGCTGGTGACTGGGCTGTGGAGCCCAGCATAGCTGATTGTGGCCAGCCTGGGCTCTGGGCAGCTTCAGCAAGCAGCGGGCAGGCTGCAAACAGCTGCGCCGGGCTCCACAGCTCCGGCATCAGCTCTATGCTGGTGGTGACTGCACAGGCACCTACGGGCAGAGAGTAGAGCGACACAGCCCACCCTGAGGTGCATGCGCAATCGCCACCATCATGGAGATGATGCCGGAGCTGTGGAGCCCGGCGCAGCTGTTTGCAGCCTGCCCGCTGCTTGCTGCAGCTGCCCAGAGCCCAGGCTGGCCACAAACAGCTGCGCCAGGCTCCACAGCCTAGTCACCATACAGTATATTAAAAATATTTATATACAGTATCCTTTACAACAGCAGTCAGCACAAAGTCCTCATAGGAAATCACCACCCTGAACAAGTATAGAACAGCCTGTCTGGAGATAAAGTTTCTTCCTAATGAATGTCTGTTAGTGGCTGGCTTGCATCCTCTCTTGTTATCCAGTCATCCAATTTTTTACCTGTATTAACCTCTTAGCTGTAATACATTAAAATTCAAAGATTAAAATTGGTGCAAGATTATTTTTCAATTTTAATTTTAATTTTCCATTGGCTCCCCACCTCAAAAAGTTTCACAACAACCCCCACCCCAACTACCATATATATTCTCCTACTGCCCACCCTCTTTCCATTCTGACACCTTATCTCTTTATTCCACAGGAGCTTCAGGCTTTTTCTTGCTGCTTGCTAGATCAATTATCTGCCAAGGTTTTTTCTCCAAATACACTTTCCAAGTCTTCTTCACTTACTAGATATCCCTCCATCTTATCTGGTTTGATGCGCACCTCTCTCACATGAGCCTATTGAAATCATCATTATTTAGTAGTGATGAAAGCTACAGCACTTATGGCATTGTATGAAAATAGCAAGAAAAACATCTTTTTGATAAGAGTACATAGTACAGAAACCACAAACTTTATACTATTTAAAGGAAACCAGTGATTAGAATAACTCAGAGAAGCAAAAAACAAAACAGGGACTTGCTTATTCAAAAGCCTAATAAGAATTAAGACACAGGCAAAGAGAAAATTTCAAACTAGATCGCAAACTTCTACCTTTGGGACTTGTGATTGTACAGAGAAAGGATTCAGTGAAGCTCCCGCTGGTCTTTTCTTTTTCATCATTACAACTGGTGGAGGAGTTACCTGAATAGTTGAGACAAGAAGATGGAAAAATTAAAAAGAAAAACCCTTTCATTACTAGAAGTTGCCAGAAAGAAAAATAAGCAAACAAAAAATCTCTTCATGGCCCCCATGTTTCTCTGTCTCTCGGTCAAACTGCACACTCCATAAGAACCAGAGTATTGTAGAAAATGACACTCAAGTACCTGTTTTATGCATCTAACGAAAAACATATCCTTCCACACCAGCTCAGCCACTTTTCTTTTGTTAAATGTATTTTAACCAAGTGATAAATCCACAAGGATTCTATTTTAGCTATTTAAGTTGTGAGAAACCAGTATTTTTAAATAACAAGAGTGGCTATCCAAAACAACAGCTGAGATTTAGCAATCTTGAGGAGTCAATAAAGCTGTGAGAGCATTGGGCCAGCTGGTAATAGTATTACACAAAGCCAGGGGTAAAGTCTAAATATTTTTTGGTCCATAAGTCCTCAAGAAAGGGACTGTTGCACAGCATCAAGCACATTGCTGGACTTCAATTAAAACTCCTTAGAATATTGTATTTACCCAACTACAAGACTCCCTTCCCCCCACAATAATTAGATTTAAAAAATGGGAAATTTTTTAATTTGTTACAGTTTTATGGAATAAGGTTATTGAATCTAAATTATTTAAAGATCATCCTATAATTGGTCTCCCCCACTACTACAGGCAGTGTGGGGGGAGGGAGATAAATGTGATAAGCAGGGATTCAGGTTTTCCATTTCCCACAGAAAAACGAAGTAAACCACGGATTTTTGCTTTTACTAGAGTAAAACACGGATTTCTCATTTTAGCAGAGAAACCCATGGATTTTGTAGTTTTGCAGCTCCTTGCAGGCTGGCAAAGCTTAGCCTGCAGTAGGCTGGGAGGGAGCAGGGCAGTCAGGCAGGGGGCGCCATGTGCATGTATGCACATGGTTTCAAGCAACCTGGACAGCAACTCCTGCAGGTAAGTGGGAGGGATTGAGGTCCCCAGAAGGAGGGAACTGGGCAGGGCTGGGACTGATGCCCAGCTGGGCAGTGTGTGGGGCTTCGAGTCTGGAACCGCAATGTGCAGCCTCAGAGCTGCAGCAGGGAGCAAGACGAGCCCGCAGGTGGCTTGTTCAGGAATGGGGGGTGGGGCCAGCTCCCTGCTGCAGCTTGCACTTTTAGGGGGCAGAGGGGACCCGTGCCCCCCAGATCTACACATGGGGCAGGGGCAGTTGCAGGGGGGGGGCATGCTGTGGGCTCATGCTCTCTGCCCTGCTGCCCTCCCCCGGGGCCTCCGCAGCTCAGCGTGTGCGACCCAGCATGGCAGCGCACAGCAGGGCTGTGCAGGAAAGCTGCCTACCTCTGCAAGCTCCACACTACCCTGGTGCCACTTCCGCTACATTCACGGGCAACAGTGCAGGGTTGTGCCCCTCCCTGCTACCCCCACACACAGGGGAAGTGTCGCCACAGCAGCGTGGAGCTCACAGAGGCAAGCAGCTTTCCTGCACATCCTGGCTATGCACTGCCATGCCAGGTCACACGCTGCGCTGCGGAGGCCCCGGGAGAGGGAAGCAGGGTATGAAGCATGAAACCACAGCATGCCCCCACCGCATGAACGAATCTGAGGGGTGCAGATCCCCAGGATTGCGTGCTGCAGCTGGGAGCTGACCTCGCCCCCACCTTCAGCAGGCAGGCAGTGGGGGGGAGCCAGCTCCATGCTCCTTCTCCTGCAGCAGCCACTGCCTTCTGTCAGGGGGAGGGGGCTGCAGACCTGGGTCCCTGGCCCTGTAGCCCTGGCAGCTGGGGGCCCCCTCCAGCAAGGCTGGGGGCAGGGGGAGCTGTGGGGTGAGTGAGGGGTACCAGTAGGGCTGGGGGGCTTTGGGGTGAGTGAGAGGCACCAGTAGGGCCAGGGGGAGGCTTCAATTTTAATTACAGATTTGGGGGGGGTTATTAGAGAATTTGTGATTTTTTTTAATCAGGGAAAACCAAGATCCCTTGCCAAGGGGGGCCAGTAATGGGGCAAGCAGTAGGCAGACAGACAGTG